ATTTTATTTTTAAAAAGTATGTTGCCTAAGTTTGGAGAGCTATGAAGCATACTAGAAAGTACTTTTTTCCACGCTGAAATGCCTAAACACGTATTTCTTTAGCTAATATTAACAAATTAAGAGAATCACTTTTTTGGAGGAAAGAGCTCTTAAAGAAAATAAGTTCCAAGCTGAGGAATTAAAATCCTCTGAGTTTTATCGCAATAAAGAACAGTTTTCCTTTCCTCTCTGTTTGCCCATCATGAGAGGGCGGGCCTTCACATTCATGGACTCTTTGAGAATGAGACAAGATTAGAATTGTACACCCAAAACAAAACAAAAAAAATCAAAAAGCAATATTCCTGCAATTTGAGGTAATGACACAAATATAAGCAAGATGAGGTTATGTGTTTTGATTGGAAGACATTATCTTTGGCTTGCTCTTACCTTATGAACACTGGATGGAGGCCTATCTTGGCAGAGTTAGGGTCAAGCTGGTGATATTCTCTATTTCTGTCCCATTCTTTCCCTAAAGTCCCCTCAAGTACCCTCTTTTCTGCAAATCACTACATCTCAGAAGTCTCCGTGCCAGTTATTCACATCCCTTTGTGTAACTAAATCAATGTGTGTTCTCTTTCACGAACACATACTTTAGCCTAAATAACTATAGCTAATAATGATCAAACTATTTACTATAAAACAAACACTAAGTATTTTATATAGTTATCTCATTCGATCCTCACAATCATTCTATGAGATAGATAAAATTTTATCCAGTTGCAAATTTAAGCTTCGGGATGATAATTAACTTGCTCAAAGTCTCATGGCTAAAAGTTGTCTGACTTCAGAGCCTGTGCTCTGACCTAACTATTGATTTAAAATCTAAATGATCAGAGTGGCAAGCATCTCAACAGATGGGGAAGTCTTCACAGGGTCTCCCTGCACACCGACATCTATACTCTGAACTGAAGACTTGAATTCCACCTACCAACCGCCTTAGAAGTCATCCCTTATACAGGAATGGTAATTCGATCATGAGATCCAGGTGGCACTTCCAGCTCTACCCTCTATGACCCTTTAACTTGTTCTGAAGTACAAAAGTATATAGCCTTTATGAGAGAAAGAAAAGAATGAAGGAAGCATAATAAAGTATCCAGAATCTCATTCTCTACTTTGTCATAGCAGATTCCCTTCTATGACCAATGTTTCTCTTTTAGCAGGAGAGGTGCCCATGGCAACATGTCAGATTGGAGGAGGATGAATAAGAACATTTATTGGCTGAGTGTGGTGGTCACATCTATAATCCCAACACTTTGGGAGGCCAAGATGGGAGGATTGTGAGCCCAGGCATTCGAGACCAGCCTGGGAAACATAGCGAGACATAATCTCTATAAAAAATTTTTAAGAATTAGATGAGTGTGGTGGTGTGTGCCTGTAGTTCCAGCTACTCAGAAGGCTGAGGTGGAAGGATCGCCTGAGCCCAGGAGGTCAAGGCTGCAGTGAGCCATGATTATGCCATGGCACTCCAGCCTGGGTGACAGAGTGAGACACCAACTCAAAAGAAAATAACAATTTATCATATCCCAAACACCAGAAGACGTGTGGAAAACCTCTAAGATGGAAGGCTGCTACATATGAAAAACAAAAGGAAATGTTACCATGATCAACTTCACAACTCATTGGAACCCAAGACCCTTCAGGTTAACAACATAAATAGGTTTCAGAAAGTTAAAAACAAAGTGTTTAAAAAAACAAAACACAAAGCCAAGTCACATTGAGGGAAATTGGGATTTTGTATGTCATGAGTCTGATTTTTTTTTTTTATGTTGAAGATTGAAGGACAAAATTTTGAGGCTGTTGGCAGAGAATGTTGACTGCTAAGTGGACCCAAAGCTAGGCCCAGGATAGGAATCTTTAGACAATTTAATTCCCTCCCAGAGGTGAGTAGAGTACAAAAACCAAGTCTTCCTCGACACTTGAGAGGAAACCCTCTCTGCCGCACTGCTTGGTGCCTGTTGGGAAAACTTGTCATGTGAAATCAATAACCAGAGTATTTCTGGAGTGCCTGTTAGACACTAAGCCAGTCTCAGAAGTGGGCTATTACTTGGGAGAGTATAGGAAGTAGATCAGATCACACTGCATTTTGAAATGATACTGAATGATCTAATAAAGAGGTCATTTTGACTCTCCGAGTCTGACAGAGCCACCAGGATCACTGGGACCCTCAACCTGTTTTAGGCAGAAACTTCAGGGCCACCACGAGGCTCAAGCCGCCTAGGCCAGTGAGTGTCTAGATGGACAACTCACCTTGAGGAAAATAACCCTATTATGGCTCCTACCAACTAGAGGGGAAAATTCCAGTCTATCTCTAATTCCTACCACCCTTCCCCTTAATGGTACCATCACCTCAGAGAAAAACAGGAGGCTTCAGTGAATCCCACTAATCCTTAGGCCTTGCTGACCTCTCTAGGAAGGGGCGTTTGTCATTTGGACTTCTGTCATTATTTGAATAGAGTCCGGTAAGGGATACAGGCACTCTTCACCTCTCAAAAATCAATTTTACTTATGGCACTGGAAAGTTTAATTCTGATGATTCTTCTCTCTCTGTATCTCCATCTACAATTTCAGGGTAATGACTCACTGCCACCATCTCACGGGGCATAAAGTGTTTTCTGTTGCTTTTGACTGCTTATTTGTTTAAACACCAAGAAAAACCCAGAGATCCCTGGGCTTTCTATGTGCTTCTGTCCCTTAGGGCTGATTACTATTATTTGGTAGTGTGTAATTTTTCCTAAAAGCAAGAAATTTATACAATTAGGAGCAGCTCTATAGAAGAAGAAAGACACATGGGGTCTTTGACGGCCATTTCTACTGCTCTAGCAGGAACCTCAGTGAAATTTATTCACAGAACGTTCATTCAGAGGAAAGCATATGTCCTTACTTTATAACTAGCGTCCATACGTTATACTAGAGGACAAGTTCACATTTTCAAGGAAAAACAAACCTGAACTGGCATCAGATAGCATCTCATGACTGCATTGCTGTCATCTGGAAAATAAGAGTGTCTGACAGCACCTTCTCTAATGTCCTTGCCAGTTCTAAAATTTTACTGTCACTTCAACATTTATGGATAATCTACCTTGTATAAGGCACTATGACGACTGCTAAGAAAAAAAATTGATAAAAGCCAGAAATATAAAAAAAGGTAAAGAGAGGAGATAAAAACACAATGGCTAAATGGATAAAATTCAAATTGAACAAGCAATCCTCTCTGTCTTTCAGGTTACAGACCACCGGAACAGACCTATGTGCGCATGTATGAGTGCAATTCACAGATAAATTCTGTACCATGTCCAAAGGGATACAGGGGCACCAAGGGGATCAAGATGGGTCTAGAGAGCAGGTAGCACTTGACTACTGCATTTCATAAGATTAAATCAGTTGGAGGTGGTAGAGATGCCAAAAATAGTAATAGTAAAAGACTATTTTGCAGCCGGGCTCGGTGGCTCAGCCTGTAATCCCGCGCCTTTGGGAGGCTGAGGAGAGTGGATTGCCTGAGCCCGCGGGTTCGAGACCCGCCTGGGCAGCGAGACCTCATCTCTACAATAAAAATCAAAAAAAAAATCAACTGGGCATGTAGCGCATGCCTGTAATTCCAGCTCCTCGGAAGGCTGAGGCGGAAGGATCGCCGGAGCCCAGCGGTCGAGGCTGCAGTGACCGGGAGCGGCCACTGCACTCCAGTCTGGGTGACTGAGTGAGACTCCAACTCAAAAAAAAAAACACTATTTTTCTTGAGTATTGTAGATTAGTCATTTTGCCCAAGAAACAAATGTTGGTTAACCTACAAGTGGCCAGACAGAAGAGAGGGAAGGGGAAGAACAGAAAAGGAGAGAGGAAAGGTAAAGTAGTCTAAACAAATCAGAGAGCTGGAATGTGAGACTTAAGGTTGGATTTGGGTATGACGAGGATAGAAAATTAAATTAGAAAACAGTTTTAAACCCTAGGGCAAAATATCACACCCTACAAATGCATACCTAACAAATACTTGTAATTCATGTCATTGCTATGAAACTCCGTCTATGGCTGTTTTGTTTCTAATATTTATTTTTCCAATGAATATTTCAATTATAAAATGGACTGTAAGTCCATTGTTCACAGACTAATCCTATAGTGCATATCACAGCTATCATTGCTATTAATTCAATATAGCAATATTATAACAAATTTTATGTCTGTTGGAATGCCTGATTCCGCGGGTTCGAGACCCACCTGGGCAACTTGGCGAGACCTCATCTCTACAATAAGTCAAAAATGAGCCGGGCGTGGTAGCACACGCCTGTAGTTCCAGCTCCTTGGAAGGCTGAGGCGGTAGGGTCACGGGAGCCCAGCGGGTCAAGGCTGCGGTGGCCGGGAGCGGCCACTGCACTCCAGTCTGGGCGACAGAGTGAGACTCCAACTCAAAAAAGAAAAGAAAAAAAAAGAAATACAATTATTGCATATTGAATATTAAAATCAAAATCAAATACATTCACTTGGGAGGGGAGACCATCAGACTGAACTAACCATGAGACCTTGGGCAAATTGTCCTTGTCTATAAACACGGGTTTGAATCAGGTGACTTCAAATGTCCCTTCTAGTTTTAATTTGATTGCAAGTTGCACATGCATAAGTCAATGTGAAATACTGACCAATCACACTTGTATCACACTATATTACGTAGGTCAGACACTCCTGATAGAAAGTTCTTAAGAATTCTTACTGACTAATTCCTGGAGTGATTAACTTCTCTCACTTCCAGAAAATTCATCTACAAAGGTACACCACACCAAGAATATGGCACAGCCTATATTTTTCCCAGTTTGTTCCCAGTCCTCTGGAAAACTTTCCAACCTCTTATAAATACATGAGTAATAGCTTCCAAAAAGCAAACTCAATAGCTTTCTTCTGGACCCTAAAAATCCTCCTTTCCGGGTTGATCGACTCTTGAGAAGCATAGAAACAATATCGTGTGGACAACATCATTATTTTCTTTGGAGCAAAGGACTGTGGGACTTGTGGTGGTCCCTGCTGTATCTGTGGCCAGCTGTCCATCTGGACCCAATTGCGGAGTCTTCCTCTTCACTCTCCCCTCCTGATTCATACTCCTCATCCACTGCATGAAACAGAGGTTTAGGTCTTAAAGCCACCTGCTTGCCTCTACCCATATACTCTTCTTGGCCTGTGCTTTTTTGACGACCAAAGTCGAATGCCTTCCCTCTTCTGTGTGCACTCTTCATTGGGATTATTTCTTGTATCAGTTGTCTTTCCTGAAGCGATGCTTTGCGAGATGGTGTGCTGAATACGATGGGCAGAGATCCTGGATCGCTGCTGTCATCATCTAGAAAAATATCATGACAAGAAAGGCAAAGAACAGACTTCAGGTACACAAAGAAAGATTGGTTGGCCATAGACATAGGCCACAGAGCACAAAAAATGCCGTTCCTTGTCCAACACCAATGCTCAACAGAAGGTTACAGGGTATCACCATATGTAAGTGGTTGCTTTTATCTGGGTTGGTTTTTAATCAATGTTTACCAGGAATCATTGTATTTGAGTTTCACCCCCTTTGACTCAGAAAAAGCAAGGATATGTAGGAGTCACAGCAGAGACCAGGGTGTGACCAGATGTTCTCCTTTCAAAAGAATGAGTCACTGAACACACTGTGGCTGGCATGCGATGGCAATGATCACGATGGGAATACCCACTCTTTGAGAAACGATTGTGTGTCTGCCACTGTGCTAATCATTTTGCATGACATATAATGTCATGCCGCTGAATCCTCATAACAGCAATTTGAGATGAGTAAAATTATGGTCCTCATTTCATAAGTGTCTGAGGTCTCACAACATCCAGTGACATTCAATATCACCCAGCTGGTGAAGATGGGACCAAAGCTTGGCCATCCAGCTGCCAACCTTTCTACTTCACCAACGCAATGCACAGGTGAGGAGAGCTATGTCATGAGAGGAAGAGCCGTTGGGTGACTATGTGATGTCCCCTCTCAGATGATCTTCCAAACACCTGACCCATACCTAGGACATTGCCTTTTCCCTGCTTCAATGTGTGAATATTTCTCACAATCTCATTTATTCTCACTTCTTCAATGTTTTAACCTTATACCTCTTCCTTTTAAGTATTCTTCTGAGAATTTAGGCATTTTCAGACATATATTTAAATCTGAAAACCATGTTCTTTCTCGAATTCTTTATTAAGAAACAAAGCAAAACAAAAAATCCCACAGCTAGAATGAATGTGCCCAAAGCTAGAATGAATGCGCCCATTGATAAAATGTGTTTAGAATGTGGGACACTAGAAAATCTTAAAATAGTCTGGTCTCGGTGGCTCAGCCTATAATCCCAGCACTTTGGGAAGCCGAGGCAAGTGGGCTGCCTGAGTCCACAGGTTCGAGATCAGTCTGGGCAACCTGATGAGACCACGTCTCTACAATAAATAGAAAATTAGCCTGGCACGGTAGCGCGTGCCTATAGTTCCCAGCTGCTTGGAAGGCTGAGGGGGAAGGATCCCTGGAGACCAGCAGGTCGACACTGGGGTGGCCGTGAGTGTGCCACTGCACTCCAGTCTGGGCAACAGAGTGAGACCGTGACTACAAAAATAATAATAATAATAATTCATACCTTAATTTAAAAAGAAAGAAAATCTTAAACTCTCCTGTTCAGTACTGTTTTTCCAAAATGTGATTAAATTATCCTGAAAAGGTAACTTGGAAATTCACTGGAGTGGGGAAGGGGAAAGCAAATACTTTCAATAAAGAGAACAGTGTTCTGCGTATTTCTGTCCCTAAAGTCTGTTCCTTCTCTCACTCTGACCATGCCCTTTGAACGTGAGCTCCCCATCAGTGGACAGATCCTCGCTGAGTTTTCTGATCATCTTCTGGCTTACTGGATAGTGGGATCCAAGCCCCAGGAAGAGGCATGAGCGTGTGACTTCCAAGGTTCCACTAGAACTAAGTGACGAGGATGCTCAAAATGTGAGAAAGACATTAGCTGGGAAGTAGAGGTGAAAGGAGGAAGGGCGGGGACTGTGCTTTGTCCCTCTTGACTCAACCTCCTTCACGTGAGCATCCAGGGAGAGAGGCGTGGACAGTGTTGCAGCAGAATCTGAATATCTGTTCTGCCTTCTGCCTGACTGGCAGTTTGAACTCCTGGACACGTGCACCCCCCAAGAAACAGGAAAAGTCCTTCTGCTCAGGACACAGCCGAGTCAAACACTTGGAGGATAACCAACCACCTGACCCAACATGTACTGTTTGGAGACACAGACCTGGAGAGCCCATCTTCATCCCATCTTCCCTCCAAATTTTAAAAACTGTGGCAAATGATAACATAAGATTTACCATTTTAACCATGCTTTCCATTTAACTACTTATAAGTGTACAGTTCAGTGGCATTAAGTTCCATCATCACCATCCATCTCCAGAGCATTTTCATCTCCCACAAACTACATGGTTTTAAGCAGTTCTCAGGGCATACAAGGGGTTTTAAGGCAAGATCTCTCAACTTATAACCCCAAGTGAACCCTCCACAAACCGAGGAGCCTTGGAAGAGCATGTGGAGCTCCTCAAGCCAACATGAAGCTTCCAGACATTGAGTGCTAGGCAAGTCTTTATCCTGGAGGAAAATCAGGACAGCTAGGAAAGGAAATCACTGAGTCTCGGGCTGGCTGGCCCTGGATTGCCTATGGGATGAGTCCCTCTGAGGTCTCCCCCAAAGCCTTTATGGCTATTCCCTGACCTTCCCCTGGTACAGAAAGACTTCAGGTTTGGAGAGATGGTGGACTCAGAGAATCCATTTTGCCTCGTTACACTGAGGACTATCTCTAGCTCACCCTGATCATTGTTATTATTTAAAACTTACTAAGAATAACTGGGACTATAAGTAGGTGCCTCTTCATTATTTTTTTCTCAGATTTTTAGTTTAATCACTCTCTTTGCCTACCTAGATGAAACTTAGAACCAGTTACATACATTGGAAAGAAAAAAAATTCATTAGAACTAAGATTTCATTTCAAATCTAGGTTAATCCATTTGGAATTGACATTTTAAAGTGCTGTCTTTCTTTCCAAGAACACCTTGATCTATGCATGTCAAGACTTCTTTTTTTTTGAGTCATAGTCTCACTCTGTGGCCCAGGCTGGAGTGCAGTCACACTCAAGGTCACCCCAGTGTTGACCTGCTGGGCTCCCGTGATCCTTCTGTCTCAGCCTTCCAAGTAGCTAGAACTACAGGAGCGCGCTACCACACCCGGCTAATTTTTGAGTTATTGTAGAGACGAGGTCACGCCAAGTTGCCCAGGTTGGTCTCAAACCTGCAGGCTCAGGTACAGGACTTCTTCAATGTCCATCAGCTGTAGCAGTGATAATGGCTAATATTTCTTGCACATCTATATAGTTCCAGGCCCTGGCCTAACAACTTTATGTCTCCGTCATGTGTGTCCCCTCTATGTATGTGACTAACTTCACCTCTGGATGATACAATTGTATGTGGGAGGTACCAATATGATCTCCTTTACAGACATGAGAAGACAGCATGGAGAAGTAGGATTTTATTATTTCTTCGCTTTGGTTTTATATTTATTTTCCTGACATTGTACAGCTTTTATTAAAAGTATGAGTAAGATGTCTTTCAGTAAGAGCATCTATGGAAAGGCTAGGTTTCTTTGGCCTATTAGTCTAGTGAATGATGTAGATATAGTTTCAGCTGTTCAGATGTTGCCTTCTGAAATTAAGCCCTCTTTGTGAAGTGTATTATTCCTTTAATGTTCTCCTATTGTCTTTATAATGCTTATTTAAACTCTGCACATTAGTACTCAGGAGAGGCTGTCCTGTGTTCGTCTCCCTACCATAACCCTACAGTATTGATGCTCATTCCATCAGAAATAACCAGGACGCTACCTTGTGTTCTATTCACTCAAACAACAAAAACAGGGCCAGATTATTTGTGCCAGAAAATTTATTCAAAAAAACTAAACTATTGTATGCCCTAAACCTGTCTGGTGCTCTCTTGTTAGTTTAGTTTTATTTGCTTTTGTTTGTGGAAGAGCTAACATAAAATAATAGCAGTTACTAGAATATGGTCTGGAAAAAGATGACTAGATCAATGAAATAAAAATGAGCGTCCAAGACTCTATCCAGGAATAATGACTTTAGCACAGCAAAAGTGGCGTTTCACCTTGGAGAAAAAGATAATGTTGGAACAGCAGAGCCCTTTGCAAACAATCGGAAGTGCATCTCTGCCTTAATCTTCACGCAAAGACAAATCTCAGAGGGTTGATATTTAAATTGGAAAATTCAACTATTAACGCATTCAATGAGAAAAATTGGGTGAATTATTTTCTAATTTTTCTGTGGAAGATCAGGCAGATTTAATAAAAACTTCCTGAAGGCCAAATCTATCTGAAAACTACAAGGTAAATAAGAAACTTGAGGAAAAATCATTAGCAACAAATAGGAGAGAAAATGGATGTATCCTTGTTTCAGAGAGCTCATAAAATTCATCTAAAGAAAATCAAGAGCCAAATAGAAAAACTTGGGTGAAGCAGAAACAGAAAATTGCTCAAAAAGAAATATAGTTATCTCCAAAATATGAAAGATATTTGACCTCATTTAAAAAGAGATTCATATGCAAATTAAATATGCTATATACATTTTATACAGTCATATCATAGAGTACTAAAAAAAGTTTAACAACAGCCCAATTATGGAAAAGGTTCTGGTAAAGACTATTCTTACAAACCGTTGGTGTGAGGGTAAATTAGTGATATAATCTTTTGGGATGATGTTTCATCAATATATGCAAAAATTTAAATACATGTAATTTTTGACCTCAAAATTTTTCCTCCAGAAGAATATGCTAAGGGACTAATTGGATATTTATGCAAAAATCAATCACAAGTGATCCGGGGTGCTTATTAGACATCATTGCTTATATTTATTAAAATTGGAAAGTACTTTAAGGATTTATGAATTATGAATTAACTAAATAAGCTATGATGAGTCTATATAATTATTATTCAGTCATTAAAATGAGTATTAGACTCAAATCTATTAAAATAGAAATCTGTCTACAACTATTGTTGAGTGAACAAGGCAATTTATAAAATTGCAAAACAATGGCTATACTTTGATCTTTATGTATAATATAATACCATATTTTGTGACTCTGGAGAGAGTCAGGCATGGGTTGTGAAGGAGAAGTCAAAAGAGTGTAGAAAGAACAGAAGGACACTCACCAAAAATGTTCCATGGTGATTACACCTGAGTGTTTGAGGCTTAAGAGCTTCTAACTTTCTTTTTTATGCTTTTCTCAGCTGATTGATTTTGATTTTTCATCGAGTATGTTTTTAAATCCATAAAATGTTTCATTTCAAAGAATGATTACATTTACTTTTAAGATACTTAATTCTAAAATCCTATGTGCTTAGTTTATTTGAATTTCCGATGTGTTTTTAAGGCTTAAAAAATTGAAAAATCAAAATAGACAACATGGCATATTACACATATTATACGTCACCTTTTGCTAGTAGAAAATCATTTTATACACATATTTTTAAGATAGCAACAGCTTTTATTAGAATAAGCAGTTTCAATAATCGCAAGAATTCCACTTGAGAATAAATATTAAATGGGAAATATTTCATAAGTAAATTTGATTAAATCAGTTTAATTTCATTCTGTAAAATTTAACCAACTTTGGAGAATTCAGCTCATATTTAAACAGTGAGTAAGTACCACAACTTCAATGAAGGGCTTTTTAATATTTCTTTAAGATAGAGGTAACCAATTATGACCCCGGACTGTGTCCTGCCTGCTGCCTCTTTTTGCCTGGCCTATGACATGTAAATGGCAGGTGCATTTTTAAATGGCTGAAAAAATCAAAAGAATACAATATTTGTGGCCAGGCATTGTGTCTCATGCCTGTAATCCCAGCACTTTGGGAAACCAAAGTAAGAGTATCTCGAGTCTGGGTGTTCAAGGCCAGCCTGGGCAACATATCAAGATCTAGTCTACACACACACACACACACACACACACACACACACACACACACACACACACACAAACTAGCTGGGCATGATGGTGTGTTCCTGTAGTTTCAGCTACTTGAGAGGCTGAGGTGGAAGAATCACATAAGGTAATCAAGGCTGCAGTGAACCATGATCATGCCTCTGTGCTGTGATCATGCCACGGCATTCCAGCCTAGGTGACAGAGAGAGATCCTGACTCAAAAAAATGCATATAGTATTTTGTGATAAGTAGAAATTATATGAAATTCATATTTCAGCATCCATAAATAATTCTCGGAATTTCATCTACCATAGAAATTTTCTTCTTCTTTGTGTCATGTAAGTAACCTACATAACGTTCTTGATTCTGCCTCTTGGCTGACAAATGCTCAAATGTTTACCATCTGACTCTTACAGAAAAAGTTCCAGAGCAGCCAAGCACACAGCTCACCTATGAAGTCAGAAGCCTGTATTTCTCTTCTTGCGGGCTGAGGGTGGCTGGAGGGAAAGGAGAGGTAGCGGATGTTTTTGGTGCCAGCCTGTGGATAGCAAGTAGAAATAAAAAGCAGAATGAGCTACTGCCATTAAGAGCTTCACGTGAGAAATAAAGTGAAGAACACAGACCTGTCCTGCGGCATTGTGTTTGGATTTCTGCCTTTCGTTTTCTGTTCTTTTCAAGAAAGCAAAACACTTTACAGTATTTCCTATCCCTCTCATGAAAAAATGGACCGTTATCAACCTGTCAAAGTCACTCCCACAGCCCCACTGAGCCTGGGGTTGAGATGAGGGTCTGCTTCTGGGTCAGGCTCCATCCAGAAGTCCCAGTAAGATTAGTCTGAAATGGCCTCACCTGGGAAGAGTTCAGGTGCACTGTGCAGGATGTGAAGGTGAGGCCCAAGTGTCTTAAAAAGAACAAAACCCTCCCTAGACCTTCCAGGGAAAGAAATCAGTCTCCCAGGGCCAAGGGCCTGGCCCACCCAGACCCCGTGACATCTTCAGTACCTGGTCACTGTGGGGCGTGGCTTTGGAATCACAACCTAGCAGGTGTGTTGCAGTCTCTGGCCCACCCTGGGGGGCAGCTCCCCTCGGGTCCCTAAGAATCTAAACCCAGAGAGGGAGGTGGCCTTGGTGTCCTGCACTCTCTTGCTTTTGTGTCTCTCTGGCAATAAGGTGTGGGTTTATTTGTTTAAATATTGATGAAATTCACTAATTCACTTGAAGGGACAGGCGCAGTTACCAGGTGACAAACACCTGCAGATTGAAGAAATGTCCCGGTCCACGGTCCCCAGCGTACCTGTATTCCCCAGGGCAGGCTGTAGCCTTTTCTCATGCTCTCCCTTAAGGTGTTCTGACGGCGGATGAGAATCTCCTTAGCCTGCTTCTCACCTGTCCGGGGCTTAAGGTTGTATTTGTTGTAGGACAGTGTCTGCAGAGAGAAAAGAATGTCAAATACACAAGGACTTCTCCAGCACAACTGTCAGTCCCAGGCAGCCATGCAAACACCGGGAACCTAGGATGAATAGATCAGGCAGGCACCGTGAATTCTTGCCTTATTTGAAGTCAATCAAGCCTCAGCCCCAAGAAGAAAAATCTGTGACCCCAGGTCACTGCTCTCAGGGCAGAGCTGTGACTGGAGTCTGTGCCTTCTGCTATTGTTCTTGCAAGGGTCACCTCTAAAGTACCCCCAGATTTTGCATGCCCTGTACACATGCTTCCTTTCCCAAGTTGTATTTTTTATGCCCAGACTGGGCATTTGGATTTGATGAGGCAGAGAAATATCAAGGCTACTTTGAGAATTCCCACAGGACTGCTGTTTTTGAATTGTGTTAATTAACAATGCACACGCACACACACAAAAGGCCGGTTTCTATCATCATTCTCATCCATTCAGAATGGGAGAGGTCTTTTAACCAAAGTAGTAGGGAGAACATGACCTCAGATAAAAAACAGTCCTTTCAATTGAATCAGTTTAGCTTTATGAAAACTATCTTCCTAACCTGAGGTCTGTGAAAACTTGTCATGGACTGTAAGCCAACATCAGTCCATCCTCAGATAGGCATTTGCAAAATGCTCAGCTGGAATTTTCTTTCCCCCCTTGTTGCTCATTCGAGGTTCACCAGTGAATGCCTGATTTGCCCAGAGTCAGTAGGTGACAAGCTGCGCGCTGATGAACCGCTGTCTAACAAGATAATAGAATCTGGACTACAGGCGCTATCCTTCCCGCTTAGTGGATGCTTTGATGAGGACAGTCAGCTCAACTGCAGTAGAGCAAATGTTCTGTGTGTCAGGTGCTGTGGCAGACACAGGATTGCAAAGTGAATAAATTAAAATTCTGGTCTTCAAAAGGCTTACAGTCTCCTAGGAGAGCCAAACAAATAAGGATACAATGTTATGTGCTCGGGTAAGTGATAAGGCACTGGGGTCCCCAGGGAGCTGCAGAGGACAGGCGAAGGACACTCCTCCCTGTCTTGGATGGGAAAGGCTTATTGCGCTGAGTTGAGTCTTGCAAGATGAGAGACACTAATCTGGGAACAAGTTGCAGGAAGAGGGAACACATGAACTGTTAACCAACTTGGGGGGGTCTGCAAAAGAGCGGGGAGTGGGCTTGTTATCCCAGGAGAATAAAGCACTTTATTCAAAGTGTGGGAGAGGTCTGAGAGACAGGAATGGCAGGGGAAGCTGGGCCAGGTCACGGACAACCTACCAAGGAGTGGAGGCTTCGTCCTCCAGGTCAGATGTCTCTTAGGTGAGTGCACACACACCAGGGGATGCCACGAGATGACCCACAGGATGAGAAAGGAGAATCCTAATACTTCTATTTCTACTGATTTCTATCCCAAAGCTTCAAAACAGATTAAACTTTATTAGTACTTAATGTACGGATTTGCAGTGGGCCCTCACTTAGTCCGTACAAGAGATGGTCATTCAAGGAGGGATTGACAATAGTGTCATCACTGGTCTTGCTGGCCTTCAGTTTCTTCGTATTTTTTTAGTGTATATACATCCAGTTAAATAAATTTGTGGTTTTCATCATCTGCCAAGTAAACAAATCCTCACAAAATAGACAGTTGGCTAAGAACAGTACCATTAAAAAGGCATGCGTCGAAGGCCAAGGGACAATAAGGAAAGAATAAACCTGACTTTCTTTTTTTTCCTAATAGGAACTTTTCATCACCCCCTTTAGACAAATTAACTGATATGACAATAATTTGCCCCCCAAAATGAATTTTGAAAACAGTTTTAAATACGGATTTTTTTTTTGGAGTCAGAGTCTCACTCCATCGCCCAGGCTAGAAGGAAGTGGCACCCTCATGGTCATCCCAGCATCAATCCTCTGGGCTCTGGCAAACCTTCTGCCTAAGCCTTCCAAGTAGCCGGAACTACAGGCATGCGTTACCACACCCGGCTAATTTTTGATTTATTGTGGAGACAAAGTCTTGCCAGTTGCCTAGGATGGTCTCCAACCCGTGGGCTCAGGCAACCCACCCGCCTCGGCCTCCCAAAGTGCTGGGATGACAGTCTGAGCCACCAAGCCCGGACTGGACATTTTTGTTTTGAATTGGGATCTCACTTTGTTGTCCAGGCTAGAGAGAAGTGGCACGATCATGGCTCACTGCATCCTCAACCTCCTGGACTCAGGTAATCCTTCTACCTCAGTCTCCCCTCGGCAGTTCCCTTTGCTAAGACTACAGGATCACAGTACTACACCTGATTAATTTTTAAAATTGTTTGTAAAGACAAAGTCTCACTATGATGCCTAGGCTGGTCTTAAACTCCTGGACTCAAGCAATCCTCCTTCCTTGGCATTCCAAAGTGCTGGGATTACAGGAGTGAACCACCACGCCCAGCCCGAAATACAGATTTTTATCTATTGCCATTAACAATAGACCTCAATCTAAGTGCATTTCATACAGTGAAATATCTAAAAATGATATTACTAATATGACACTATCATAAAATATTTAACAATTAAGAATAAAAAATACAGAGTCAAAATTCTACAATTTTTCATAAATGGTAAAGACATGCAAAACTGAATTCTGTGTGTGTGTGTGTGTGTGTATGTGTGTGTGTACAACTATGTGTGTGTGTGACTATGTGTATGTGAGTGTTTGTGTATATATATATATATATTGCTAGTATGAATTTCCTACACCTAGACTTGAGGATGTCTGTACTTTAAGGAACACTTGGGCGTTTGGTCTTCTGTTTCACCACACATCCCGTAACCCACTTGCTTCTCTATTTTTGCTGCCTTCAGGGAGCATAGATGGTTTTATGCATAACATATGTGCAAGTTTCTTCCCTCTCCTTCCTCTATTTCTGCCCTTTAGCGGAAGAGTTGGTGATTGATTAAAACTCATTATTTCCCATTGAAACTTGAACTTTGTCTTATTTAGTGCAGTATTCCCGATTTCTGGCACATTCTAGATGTTCATTAACTAATTGCTGAAGGGAACTTCCATTAAATATTGTTTTCCTCCTTTGAAAGTATGCGAAATTCTGAGAGAGATCTGACCATTTAGACCACCCCAGGAACTACCCATCAATCTGTGACCTATCCAGGAAGTCTGGGCTGAGGTCAATTTCTTCTTTTGTAAGTTTAGAAGAGGCGTTTCTTACTCTCCATTCTCACTTTGTTTCAGAAAGCCTCCTCTGTGGTTGCCCCACTGGGAATGTCCAGAGGCTAGTCCCTCAACCTCTCAGCCCATGAAGATTTTGTTCTGGGTGTGCTGAGGGGAGGGACTTCAAACAGGAGTGGGTGCAACAGACACAGCACGGTCAGCTCAGTTTGGGATCAACTGTGTATTAGGATCCTCCCAGAGTCAAACTCTGCCCTCATCCTGGCCCAGAAGTGACTCCTGACACCCCAGATAGCCTCTTCCAAATCGTAGACACTTGAGAAATGCCCCAATCGCCAAGCCTTCACTTATCACATGGGCTGGAGAACCCAGCTAGCTGATGCACACTCCTTGAAACATTCCTCAAAAATACAGATTGTCCACCAGAAAGAGGGTGTATGTATGAGCTGCATTTTCAGAATGATTTTTCCTTCAAGAGAGCAAGAGGACCATGGTTGAAGAGAGGAGTCTCATGGCCTTTGTAAACATGGGTTAGAAAAGGAAGATGGGAGGGGTAGGGTTGATGACTTTCACTCTCAAATTCACTAAAGTCAAGGCAAAAAGCCACCTCATAGGCTAGCGGGCGCCATCTGTTTAAGAATGATGTTCTCTCCACTTGACTTCCATGATGCTCAGTAATAAACCCTGTCCATGAAAGGAGGACTATGTGCTTAAAATAAAGGGCAACAGGAAAGTGGAATGTAGCATAGCTTAAGTCAAACTCTGGAGGGCAGACTACCTAGGACATTGACAGAAAGAGAAGAAACGAGGCCATCTAGAAACTTACATCCATAGGAGAAAAGGGGACGAGCAGTTGAACTTACTTTAGGTGGATGAAGTCCCAGGAGATCCATCTTCTTTTCTGGACTTTTCCTGAAATTTGACCTTTATCAACATAGGGAAAAGACTGAGAACCAGGTACCCCTTTGGTCCTGGTCCTCACTAAGCTAGCCATTCTTCGAACCAGGAAGCTCTTATCTATGTATCTAAGGAAGGATGTGATAACCTTACTGAAACAGTTTCACTTGGAATGATTTGAAAGCTGTGGGATTTATTCTAAGCATGCGGAAAAGCTGGTGCGGAGTTTTCCAATGACATGTGCCACTTAATCAGTGGCCTTTCTGAAGCAGGAAGCCACAAGCATCATTTCACTCTCTTATTTATTGATTTATATTAAAACGTTCACTTTCACTAAATAAAATGAGCCTGGCAGCATGCAAAGAACACTGGGTAGGTGGACGAAACACCGGTGTTCTCAACTTGGATTTGTTTTGTGACCTTGATCAAGTCAGATAACCAACTTTGCTAATGTCAACATCTTCTACTTGAAAATGAGGAGCTTTACTGGGGAGAGGAGAAGCTATTCAGTAAATGGTGCTGGGAAAACTGACTGACCACATGCAGAAGAATGAAACAGGACCCCTATCTATCACCACACACAAAAATCAACTCTAAATGAATCGAAGACCTAAATGTAAAACCTCAAACTATAAGAATTTTAGAAAGCGCAGGAGCCATCCGTATGGAAATCAGAACAAGCAACCAATTCTTGATCATAACTCCAAAAGCATATGACATAAAAGATCAGATAGACAAGTAGAACCTCATCAAACTGAAAAGCTTTTGCAAAGCAGAAGAAGCCATCAAGAGAGTGGAGAGAGAGCCCACAGAATGGGAAAAAAATATTTAACTGTATATATGACAAAGGCCTAACATCCAGGATCCACAAGGAACACAAACATGCTGAAAGGAAAAAAACAAACAGCCCTATTTAAAAAGTGGGCAAAAGTTATGAATAGACACTTCTCAAAAGAAGACATTCCAACAGCCAACAGATACACAAAAAAATGCCCAGCCTCACTAATTGTCAGAGAAATACAAATCAAAACCACACTGAGAGACTACCTAACTCCAGTAAGAATGGCCATCGTTAAATCAAAAAGCAACAGATGCTGGCAAGTGTGCAGAGAAAAGGAAAAACTTCTACACTGTTGACGGGGATGCAAACCAGTGCAACCTCTATGGAAAACAGTGTGGCGATTTTTAAAAGATCTAGAAATTGACCTCTCATATGACCCAGCAATCCCCCTCCTGGGTATATACCCAGAGGAATTCACATGATTCTTCAAAAATGACACTCTTGCACACATGTTTATTGCAGCACTCTTCACAATAGCAAAAACATGTAACCCAACCATGCTGCCCATCAAAAGTGGACTGGATTTTTAAAATGTGGCATATATACACAATGGATTATTACTCAGCCATAAGGAAGAACAAAATTATAGACTTTGCAGCAACTTGGATAGATTTAGTCTATCATACTCAGTGATCTATCACAGAAACAGAGAACTGAATACCACATGTTCTCACTCATAAGTGGGGCCTGAACAAGGATCACACTGCCAGGAAAGGGTAGGGGCACATAACATCACTAAGGGTTCCTGATCCTAAAACAGGGGAATTGAGGACCAGTGGGAGCCCCACACTTTACCTGTACGTAAACCACTTATGTATCTAATCCTGATTTGTACCCCACATCCTTAGAATGAAATAAAAAGGGGAAAAAAGAAAATGAGCTTTGAGCAGATGATTTTGTTTTTGTCCCATTGAGACTATGATCTGTGACATAGTCACAAAAACAAAGGCGCGCACAATAAATTCATTTATAATCATACCCCCAAATTAGGGTAAATAATCAAATCCTCGAACTTGAAAGCAAGATGAAATATCATTCGACTAAGTTAAGGTTTCAGAAGGCTTCATCCATTGCTCCCAGCAACGTTCTTGGTAAGCACTTTGGACCAGATGCCAATGACTAGTGTAGATTCCATATCTATTTCCAAAATTGATCAAGAAAATGTCCCCTTTTATTCGAGCTTTCAGTATCATGGTTTAGATATTCTAACCTAAACTATCTCAGTTTTCTTGTCTTTATTATAGTCATGCAGTTGAGACAACTCCACCGCGATCAGCATCCCGGGCCATCTTTGTTCCCTGGTGTGGGGGATGAGTTTCTCTGCAGAAAGCCCAGCTGGTTCAGGACAGCATCAGCCCGCAGGGCTAGGGCAGCCTGCCCCCTAGAGACGGGAACTGGAATTGCAGTTCTTTTTCTGCCACAGGTGCCAATTTTGCAGAATTAGGACAATTAACTTTCTGTTCTCCAAGAAAAGCAGAGAGAAAATGCTCAGCAAAAGGCTGCTTTAGAGAGGAAAACGTGGACAAGGGAAGATTTCCGAAGGACTGTTTCCAAGGACAGGCAATAGAGACAACACAGGCAGCTTATACACACCCTTTGTCGAACTTGATACATGTTGTGTGTCAGAATGTCCTTCATGGACTCCACATCTTCAGGGGAAAGCCTTTTGATTCTCTGCATCCGCTGGGCTCTGGAAACGTCAGTGGAAAAGAGTCAAGCATTATTCTTCTGTCTTAGCAAGAGGTGCCACAAAATATCGATGGACTTTGCCCTGACCTGGTGGGGACCTTAGGTTCCACAACCCTGTTTTGGCATCATTTTTCCTTTTGTTTTAGTGAGTTGATTTGAAATGTCAGAACATGTGTCTTGACTTCAAGTTTTGAAAATATTGTTCCTTTGCCTACAGTTTTTATGTGGTAATTGTTCGAACTTAATTTTTAACAGCGGTTTAAGGTATTGAAAATCAAGTTGATTTTTTCCCCTTCAAATCTGTTCATTGATATGTTTGTAAACTACAATGGAAATAAACTATTAGGACATTATGACATACAATGAAACCCAAATATTTTACTGTTAAATGCAACAGAAATAAATTACTCAAATTCTAGCACTTTGCTAGTTGTGTACCTATCTATCCCATTGAGAACGCGTGACAGAGAGTTAACGGGCCAACACCATTTGTACACTGATCTAACAGAATATTAAAATTGCATTTATATTGAAATTGTACCTTTAGGGTTTTTATCTTGGGCTAAGGAATGGTCTAAGAACCTAGGATCACATTTTATAAGGGCAATTAGGCCATTTATGCCAAGACAGTCAGTCAACTCTGAGACATTGGGAGCCGTAACCTCCTCCCACCTCTGGAAGGGTTCAAAAACCAGGTTATGCATGCCCAGGTTAGCAGTCAACGCACAATTGCTCTCTGGGAATTTCAAAGCCATGACGTTGCTATGGAAGAATTCTCATGTGACAAATATATTTGATTATAATTTAGTGGCAATAATTTTTAAGACCTTTTAGCTCCATAAGTAAGATATATTCACTATAGAGCATAAGAACAAAAACTAGAGGACTAAAGAAAAAACCCTCCTAAGACTAGCACCTTCCTCAACATCTTGGTATAAACCTTAAGGGGGATTTCTGTTTGTTTGTTCTAGCTATGGCTCTTTTGACTGTGTAAGGCCGCTGAAATCTTTGATATCAGCTTGCATATGTGCTTAAGATAATTGATCGCAAAGATAAGCAATTATTGATTTCAAATGAGCTAACTGTTATGTGTTTTTCCAAACATTAATAGCACTGCAGCCAGAAATAGCAAGGGTGTGTTGAAAGCTATGTATAGTTAAAAGATTTTAAGGGACTTGGATACTGAATATCACAGTGTGCCTGGATTTTGTTTAGCAGGGCTATCGGTAGACTGACTGATGCCCTTTATACAAACTGACTGAAATCAGAGTTCAGAGTTTCCATATCTTAGAGCTGCAAATGTCAAACGTGTTGATATTCAGTTACCCCCCACTGGGATCTAAACATTATTATCAGGGCATTTTAGCCTAAGAGTTTCAATGTCCTTCAAATAAAATTTATTCTGATTTAGATAAGCCCACGTACTCCCATAATCTGAACACATTCCTTTAATATGGTGAGTGCAATGTATTGCTAAGCAGAAACAACAGCTGGTCAAATAGTTCCATTCTCTGTGTTTACATTAAAACAACCAAATAGGAGGGAAAAAACATTGACAAAGGAAATGGTAAAGTTAAACTTGATATAGCAGCAGATCTAACCTGGCATTCCTCGTCCCCCCGTTTATAATTGACTGCTTTGGGGAGGATCGGACTTAATTAAAGTCCATTCAGGCTCTGGCTGAAATGAAGACTACAGGTATCTCAAAGGCATAGCCTCTCACCAAGTTACAGTGAGAATCTGCAGCTAAAAATTCTATAGATGCATGACTAATCGAGGCAAGGTGATACCTGGAGTTTTCTTCATGCCTCTTCATTAGCAAAATCATCTCTGAAACACTCATATCACAAGCACATGAAAGATACACCCGTTAAAAATACCAAATGGGTAATCAGAGGGGTCAAACTATAAACTGAGAGACTCTTGACACTGAAACATCCATTCATTATCCAGAAAGGAAATTTCTGTCACCTTTAATAAAAATTCTGTGGTAATTTCATGGCTGCTAAAATCAAACTGGGAAAATCTAAATCTAACTGTATTCAAATAAAAGTTTCATATTTCTTATAACTCCATGTGTTTTTATTGACATATCATAGACGTACATATCAGGAGAGTATTTGTGACAATTTGATACATTCATGTGATCACATCAGAATAATTATGATATCCATCACCTTAAATATTTATCTTTTCTTTACCCTAAGAACATTTTAATGATTGTCTTCTGGCTATTTTGAAATGAATAATTGACTAATGTTAATTACAGTCATGCTAACTGTGCTATCGAACACCACGTCTTATTTCTTCTAAGTGTATATTTGTACCCACTAATCAATTTCTCTTTATCTTATCCCCCCACTCTTTGTCAGATCTATAATCATGCAAAAAGGGGCTTCAATTCTATCATAAAATCAAGTAGATGCTATATTCATGCCATAGTATGAATTAAGAGAGACTCAATATTACACTCTGATTCATTGAGAAGAATCTATCTTATTTAAACAGCTTAGATGTGCAATCCATAGGAAGAGGATGTTCAGATTACTGGAAGATTTGCCCATGGTGCACCTCGTGGTACCCACCAGCTGCCCTGTGTGTACAATTGCCTTGCATCTTTTTACAGAGGTCACTAGGGTGACCAGCGTTGGAATGAGTGATAAGTAGCTGCGAAGACAGCCCTGTTACCCAAAATACAACATTTCATTATAGAAGTGAAACATGACATCAGACTGGCCATCCTAAAATCTTCCTTGTGAGAATACAGAAATTCAAATTGAAACCTGTCAATGTGTGATCAATTAAAAAAATTCTTAAAGTACGATGAAGTCACTTTGCTTTCTTAAAAATAAATGGCATGTTAAAAATTATTTAGGAGTTTTCAAATGTAATACTTTGAGGTTGTACAGTTGTTTGTTATGCCTATACATTTAAAATGTTGGATGTATCTTTAATATTAATAAAAAATTTTAAAGCCTCCACACTTTCAATCACCTCGAACCTTTATCCTCTGATAATTTCTAACAGTTTACCACTCATTGGTGAGACAAACTGCTTCATATTTGAAATAATAATCAAGGCATATATTCTACTCATTACATAGAGTTGTTTTGAGGTTTACATAAGATAATGTAAATAAAAACAATGGAATTCCACAAAAATCAGTATCATCTTAGCTGTGCTATAAACAACTGTGGTGGTTGCTTTCTCCTGAAGATCACAGAATTTGAAAATCTAAACCTTTTGTAGAACAATTACTTAAACTTCTAAAGAAAAGAAATATATGTGTATTTTGCTGTTATCATCTCATACAGAATAATAAAAAGCGAGCTGGGTACACACTTCTTTTTCCTATTATTGTATGAAGGTTTGTTTTTTAAGAAATTCACTGCTTTGATCTTAGGAGAGGAATTCCTTTTTGCTTGACATCCTACAGATTTCTGATGAGATCAAATACATGCAATTTAAACACTAAACTTGCATTAAATATTAGCTTTAAAAAACTCCTCTCCCAACTCAGTCAGCCAACTAGTTTGGGGTATAGGAGGAAAAAAAATTAGCTTACCTATAAGAATCTCTTATTACCAATCTTAATTAAATGTCTAAAGAAATAATTGACTCAACCGGCAGGCCGCTTCCCAATAAAGCTAATGCAAAAATTGCTTTGAGGTCTGAAACTGGGGCAGTTGTTCATGGCTGATATAATGTAATACAGAGATTCAAAACATGTTTGACCACCTGATAGACTGATTCCCATTTGAGATAAACCACCCTGCATTCTCAGACCAAGTGCTCACACAACCAGTGAGCAAAGCAACCAAGGAAGTTTCTAATGGTCTAAACAGCCTGAAACTGCCCAGCCTCCTCCACTGCTGGAACTGGAATTCATTCTTCAGTGACCAGGTCAGATGTGCAGAGCCCAGACAAGGCTCACCCCTCGCAGACCTGCATACCTGGCATCCTTTACGATTATACGTTTGTGTGACTTTTTAACGAAGGTCACGACCCTCCTGGAGTAAGGTGACCAGGAGGGTAGGGCTTGTGTCTGCTTCCTAGTGCTTGGCACAGTCCAGGCATCTAACGGACAGGACTGGGTCTAAGGTACAAAATACGAGGCGTGCCAAGAAGCCCTGCAGCTAAGAGAAGTCCAATTTGAACACAATCCTTTTAGAAAATAAAGGTCAATGCAAAGGAATCCTTGATGAGTGAAATATCAACGTTTCAAATAGAAACAGGATCAGTATGCCTGACGTTTCTTTTTGTCTCAGGCTTTACTGTAGTCCAGTAGAATATTGCCAATATGTATTTGTTAGCACTCACCCATTTTAGTATCAGAAGTTTCCTTAAAGCCATGAAATGGGCGGCATCAAGCAAACAAACAACCCGCCGAAAGAATCTCACTGAGAAATAAGGCAGAAAGCTTTTTATTTACACCGAGATATCCTTAGGGACATGAGTTAAGATATCCCGGGCCATGTAAGAAAAGCAAGGGTGTTTCTGATTCATTAACAGGTAAGGGATGGAGGTGTTATCTGAGAAATAGCACGCAGGCAATAGTGATAATGTTATGGCTATCTATTCTTAGCTTTTCTCTCAACTTGCCTTTCGAATGTGAGGATGTAATTGAAGCTCATGATCAAGCGTCTTCACCTGCTGAAGATGACAGAACGGAGGGCGTCTGTGCTCCTTATTCTAAATGTGCGTTGTGAACAGTTTTCCCAATTCATAAACCATTCTTTGGTGGAAAACTAGGCATCTTTGAGAGGTGAATTAATTCTTTTGACATTGAATGGGCTCTTGTTAAGTGTCAGAGAGATGAAACAGCTTTTTTAAAACTTAACCAGCTCTGAGGACAATTGATTACTAGGTGCAGCCACAGACACACCACAGAATATCATCTTGCAATGGTGGGTTCGTATACTGGCACCACACATCCTCACCTCCATGAGATTTCCTATGGTAGTCCTCTGCTCCCCAGGGACCCAGGAGACTCCCTGCTCCTATTTCAAGCTGGCAGCACAAAGACTCAAGGAAAACCTCCCAAGCTCACATAAACTTTTGCCCCGGAGACGATTACAAATAGTCTTTCTCTTTAAATAGTCCACCAGCTACCACACGGCTTCCTACCATAACTCACTCCCAAAGCCAGATGAGCGCCTCAGAAAGCCAGCTTGTCTCTCACATCAAAGAGGAAGAGAAGTGACTTATGGGAAGAAACACGGTGGCAGGAAGGATAGAATTCCCTGAGTAGGGGTTAAAGAGCAGAGGTTTCTAGGCAGAAGGAAAACAGGAAAATCTTCTAAAATATGCATTTCTAAGAAGGCAACTTTTTCTAGAAAGGAATTTTCAGAAACAAGGCAACTTTTTCTAGAAAGTAATTTTCAGAGACAAGGCAACTTGGGCTAGAAAGTAATTTTCAGAAACAAGGCAACTTGGGCTAGAAAGTAATTTTCAGAAACAGGAGGAAACACGCTGAGCCTGGGCCAGACAATAAAAATGCCAAGACTCAGGTTACATTTTTCACGATTCCTTCCTTGCATTTCTGTCTCTTCACTCTTGGTGCTACCTTTAAGCGGAAGAACAAGTCAGTGCCCCTTGGAATTCTGACAGTGAACCGTCTGAGTCAAAGAGCAGATAGGACTTACTCATGGGGTACGGAGAAAGCTGTAGAGCTCAGTATCCCAGTCTCCACCATCTCAATAGCTTGTTTCATTTCCAGCTTCTTGTACAAAGAAACAATGCTTGATTTGGGCAGATTCTTTCGGATGAGAATTTTCCGTAAGTATCTATGATCAAACTTCTTGAACCTAAAAGATGAAAAACCAACATTTTAGAAGTCTCCCATCTCTGTGTGTGTCATGTAAGTATGCATTTTTCTTAAAACAAACTACTTACGACTTAACTTTATTCTGAAAAAAACATCAGGGCAGTGCCTAGAATTCATAGCATTTAAGCACATTTCTTAAAAATTCATGGTATTTATGCTTTTTTTTTTAAATAAAGGAAGAATGGCCTACTGGCCTGAATACATTGAAAATCAGCTACACAAAAGGAAGGGACAAGCTGCAATCAGGGCAAAAAGTGTGCCTAAGTGAGATGCAGGGGAGGCCCAGCCCAGCTCAGCTCCAATTGTAAGAGAAGAAATGAGAGGGCTGAGGCTTTTGAACAAGTGTTCCATTCTAATAGCTCATAACAGCAGCAGCTGCACTTACAGTAATACTGGCCTATTCAACCAGAACCCAATAAGTTTAAATGGCCCAGTAGTTACAGTAGTTTTGCCCCATTATGCTGCAGATCATTTTGAATCCTGCCAATTAAGGAGGAGTTAAAAAAAAAAAAACCCACATATGTCCCAACAGTCTGAATTGATGGAGACTCTGAATAGGCTAGACACTAATGGCCGCCGACTATTGTAAGGAACCTCTGGCTGACCCATTAGACGGATGCATGTGGTGCCTTTGGAGTCAGCCATTTGTTTGGAGTTGGAATTTTCAACACTTCCAATCATTTTACATTCAACGAGTAGTTTCTCTGCCTGCTTTGCTTTCTGGAGGGGAACATAACTTTCCAGGAGGCTGGCTTATAATCTGGTTGTTGTTTTCCTGGTCTGTGAGGTGAGTGGACTCTATCAGCGAAGTCCTGCTGGGATTCACAAGCTGACTTCCTGAGTTCTGTTATCTGTGCGTGGCTCAGATCAGGTCTCCCCTTGTTCCAAACGGGTCAGCTCTCAGTCTTCTAGTTTTCTGTTCTTCGTCATGAGAGTCTGGTTCCTGTTTATTTCTCAGCCCACTGTAATCGGCTCCCTAACTTTCACGCCTTCTCTTACTGAGCTTACCTTGACCTTGTCCTGTTCAACTCCAGTGGCTGCCACTGCCCTAACCTTTCTGGCTGAGTCCTGTCTCCTGACATGCTGGATGGTTCCTTTGTACCCTCGACAACCCTACTCACTCCTGTTTCCCTGCTAAATTTCTGACTTCTCAATCTTCTTCCACTCTTTCTTTTTCTTACCTGTACCACATGCATGAGAGCCTCTCAGAGTCCTGTCCGCAGTGAGCTTCCAGCTGCTCACTGACAAGTTACAATTTTAAATTGCCACAATCCTCCTCCTGAACTTTAGGCTAAACCCAGGGAAAGAATCCTCAAGAAGAGGGAGTTTGGTGTTTTTAAAGAATTATTATGTTGGAAAGATCTTTGAAGATCTTCCACTGTGGCCTCTCCCACAATGGAGGAATATCTTCCCATGATCCTTAATGAGCCAACAAATTCCCTTTTCAACCTCATGAAGCTGGTCATTCCACGCATGAGCTGCTCTTACCATGGGAAGCCTTGTCTTTGTTTTAAGCTCGTATCTGACTTTTCTCATTTCCACCCATCAGTTGTCCTGTTTCTCTCTGAAACGACTTAAACCTAAGTGTAAGCCTTCCTCCACCTGACTGCTCTCCATTTTCCTGGTCTGTGACTCATCCGGGCACATCCAGGACCTCCAATTGCTTCCTGTATACCATGACTCCCAGGTTCTTTATCTTCTTGGTCTCCTTACTCTGGATTCTTTCTCCTTTTACACCCAGTTTCCAATGAAACCTTTGGAAGTTCCCCACGCCCCAAATATTCTCTATTAGGAAATGAAATCCTTGGCCTCCTTACTTGTCTCTCACTTGGTAGTGGCTCCAGTGCCCACACACATCTTCAATTCCAGCCTTTAAGTGATCCATCAGCTGCCAAACAGACACAAGAAAATGAACGCTGGTGAAACACTAGCTCTGAAAGACACACAAGGACAGCCAAGACATTTGGGAAAACAAGGGAGGCTTTAATTTCCTGGAGCGTATCCGCTTTTCTATAGCTCTGTTCATGTAATAAGATGCCTTTCAGAGTCATTCAACTTAGTTTCATGATTTAAAGACTCTGCAGATAAGGTGCTTGTTAATTCACATCATTTGCAAGGAGAACGAGGCACCTGGCATTTACTTTGAATAATAACTTTCAAGAATTATCTAGGAAATTTCTCATTATTGACATAATATGGATACAAAGAATCACTATTAACTGTTACTTTTAATTTCATTGCAAGAGAAAAGGATACACCAGTATCCAAATCATACACCTTCTAAAGATATGACGTTTATGTATTATCATAACAGATTTTCTATTATGCTAACACATAAGAACAAAACATTTCTATTCCCTATTTGCATCTGGTCATTTGGTCTAAGTGTTTATATTTCACCATTTAAGCCAAATACATTTGTTTTATCCCAAATTGTTTACAGAAATTTAGGAAAAGATATAATCTTCCAAATAATTAAGAATTAATTGTCAGATATTTTAAATTAGAAATCATTGAAGTCTATACAGGCTTCTGAATTTTTTTGAAAAATAGATGACTTTTTTTTGCAAAATAGATGACTAACATAGTACTACTAAATTAATTGATTCCCTGTCTTCTGCCAATAATTACAAGTTTTTTGAGAAAAAAATGAGAAAGGAGTAAAATATCCAAGTTCTGTGGACTTAGGTATAATATATTAAAATTATAGATCAGAGAAGATAAAGATAGAGACAAAACTCCACAGTCAGGTTGAGGCATGCATTACATATTTTAAAGCAGTCGCTCTCTAGTCTCATCTGTTAAATATTTTCAAATGGCTTTGAATTTTTTTTAAAATCTGGATTTCCTGGAATTTAAATTACTTATGTTCCTCAGACTTTGAACATGAAATTCAAGGGCAGATTTTGGACGACTCTATCCATTTCTCCAGTATTAGAGCTGTAACCTCTCAGGGATAAAAGAAACCTAAAACTTATCAGGTTTGGTCACCCCTCAAAGCCTGACTCTTGCACACATCCACTTCACCTTTGAGGGTGGCAATTGAGACATACCTGTCAGAATGTTCTTCCATTAGCTAAGCTGAAGTCTCTCCTCCTATGCCTTTCATACATTAGTTCTCACTTCTGTTCCTTGAAGCCATACAGAATGGCATTTCTCTATCCACTGATAAGGTGATAGGTATTTAGCTTGATTCCACATGTTTGCAATTGTGAATTGTACTGTGATGAACGCACGGGTGCAGGTGTCTTTTTTATATAACGACCTCTTTTCCTTTGGGTCGATACCTAGCAGTGGGATTGCTGGACCAAATGGTAGATCTACTTTTAGTTCTTTGGGAAATCTCCATACCGATTTCCAATTAGAGAGGATGTACTAATTTACATTCCCACCAACAGTGTAAAAGCATTCTATCTTTTCTGCATTCTTGCCAGCATCTATTGTGGTATATATACCCTATGGAATACTACTCGGTTAACAAAAAAAAATAATGTTTTTTGCAACAACTTGAATGGAATCGGAGAATATCATCTTCAGTGAACTAACTGAGAAACAGACAATCAAACACTCCATGTTCTCGCTAAAAAGTGGGATTAAATCAAGGATCTGCAAAGACAGAGAATGGTATGAGGTACACTGGAGACTCGGAAGGGGGTTCAGGGAAAGGGGACAAAAGTCACCCATCAGGTGCAATGTGCACTAACGAGAGTGGTGGGCACATTTAAAAGCCAGACCAAAAACAATCTGTGCCCCCTAAAGTTATTGAAATAAAGAAAAAAAAAATAGAACGGTATTTCTTGAATATCATGTTGAGCTTAAACGACAGATGGAAACCATGTTCACCTTCATATTTGACTATCCCAGACTGAGATGCCACTAAATCATGTTTGCAGAAGTAGAGGCAATCTTTACTCCCTTCTCTATTAAGAGTTCAGAAAGAGCAGAGGACCTCATGTTCCAAGGGATAAGGACTTTAGAAAAGAGTAGGACAACTCTGAGTGTCAATCACTGTAATAGTCTTTTGAGGTATTTTAAGGTATCAATCTAGCTAGGCAAGTCCCCGGTTATTCCATCAAACACAACTCTGGATGTTGTTATACATGCATTTTGCAGACACAATTAGAGTCCACAATCAGTTGTCTTAAGCAAGGGAGATGGATGAGCCAAGATGATCTGGTGGCTCTGATTTAATCAGCTGAATGGCCTTAAAGAACAGAACTGAGCCGGGCACGGTGGCTCAAGCCTGTAATTCCAGCACTTTGGGAGGCCGAAGGGAAAGGATTGCCTGAGCCCACAGGTTCAAGACCAGCCTGTTCACCATGGTGCGACCTCATCTCTACAATAAATCAAAAAAATAGCCAGGTGTGGTAGTGTGTGCCTGTAGCTCTGGCTACTTGGTAGCCTGAGACAGAAGGATCGCCAGAGCCAAGCAGGTTGACACTGGGGTGGCTGTGAGTGTACCACTGCACTCCAGACTGGGAGACAGAAGGAGACTCCAACTCAAAAAAAAAAAAAAAAGAACAGAACTGAGTGTTTCCTGAAAAAATCTTACTTGTAGACAGTAGCTTTCACTCATGAATGAGAGTTTCAACATGCCCTTTTTGATGGCCTGCCCATAGATTTCAGACTTTCCTAGCCAACTTCCAGAATAGTTTAAATAAATTCTTTACAACAAATCTCTTCATATATATATACAATCTTCTATTGGTTCTGCTTCTCTTTTGAACTCTGATAGAAACACTGCCCAGCTCAGAGAGAGGACAAAATGAAAGAAGGCTGTCAGACCTCCACAATTCTACAAACAAGGAAGAAGCTGATAAAACTACTCACCTGCAAACTCATGCTATGTTTATAAAAAAGGAAGAATGATTCAGAGGGAGAAGTCAAGAACCCAGAGGGTGAAACAAAGAATTGCCGGATATTATTTCTAGGCCTTGAAACCGATAAAGCCTGCACTGGAAAACATTGAAATTTGCTTGGGATCAATGACTTTTTATTTTCTTCCATTTTACCCATTTTTTAAAGGGGTTGTCTGTAACTGTTATCGGATGATGGTTCTACCATATATTTTGGGAGCAGATAACTTGTTTCTGGAGTTTTACACATTCACAGATGCAGAGGAACTGTGTCTGAGATGGATTATCTGAGTCTCACCCAGAGTTAGGTGATTGAGATGGTGAGATTTGAAACTTTTTAACTGAAAAAATTTAGAAGGTATTTTGGATTTGGAATTGATGCTGTAGTGGACTGAAACTTTGGGGATGGAGGAATAGACAGAATGCATTTTGCATTTTGCATATGGAAGAGACGTGAGTCTTTGAGAGATAAAGGCCAGCTGTGGTAGGGAGAATAATGCTTCCTTCTCCCAGAGATGTCCGTGTCCTAATCCTCCAAACCTGTGAATATGTTAGTTTAGTTTAAAGGATATTTAAGGTAGCAGATGGAATTAAGACTGCTAACCAGCTTTACCTAAAATAGAGAGAATTTCCTGAATGATGCATGTGGCCCCACTGGGATCGTAAAATTTCTTCAATGTTGAAGAGACCATCAGAAGGGTCATTGTCTGAGTGATACAGTATGAGAAGGACAAATTGGACAGAGTTTTATTGTGGTGAATATTGTCATCATAGAGAAGACTTTTAGCATAATCTTTAGATTGTCCAATTTGTATGTCGTCTCATTGCCAGCTCTGAAGATGGAAGAAGTCATGGGCCAAAGGATGCAGACAGACTCTGAAAGCTAAGAGAGGCAAGGAAATATACTTTCTCTTAGAGCCTTCAGAAGGGAATGCAGCTCTGCAACACCTTGATCTTAGTCCAGGAAGGCTTGTGTCAAACTTCTGACCTCCAGAACCATAAGATAATACATCTGTATTGTTTTCAGCCACTCAGTTTATGGTAATCTCCTACAGCAGCAATAGGAAACTAGCAGACACCATTGTTGCATCTGAGGAGGAAAGAGACTGTAATTCTAGTCTTGCATATACACGTCTCATCAAAGGTACAAATAGAAACATCTTATTCAACTATTAATTATGACATAAAGTTAACTTACGCGCATATGAAGCTCTTCATTGATAGATTCTTTTTTATTGGTTTTTTTAACATCCAGGTACCTGACCAAGGGGCCAATTGTGATTCCCTAGGTCAGAAATAACAAAATAGAGTTTTATTGTGGTGAATATTGTCTTCATAGAGAAGACTATTAGCATAATCTTTAGATTGTCCAATTTGCATGTGTTTGTTTTGCATTAGCTTTTACGGGATAAATGTTCCAATGTTTACTTTAGTTCTTAATTATCTTAAACGCTGGGATAAAGTTGTCCACATTATAGTACAGGACTTTGACTTCATTCCTTAAAATAATACTTCATTAGTTTATTAAGAGTGAACTCCAGCTAAAAACTGGTGCTATCTAGGACTAATTGGAACCTCATTTTCAGAGATGCATGGTAGAGTAGCTACTATTCACCTGTTACCTAGAAATATTTTGATTAATGTGCTGTATTGATTTAAAGGGAAAATATTCTATAAGTTAAGGGATGACCACAAACATGATCTAGAAACATCTGGGAATTTCATTTGGGTATTGAACACAGATCTGAAAAATCAGATAAAGTGACTTCACTTGTATTTTACTAATTTAATACCCTGTCCTGAAAGAAACGACATATTTTAAATATGAAGAAAATCGACTCACCTGAATAAACACAGTAAAGTATATAACTACTAGAGTAGCAGTGACAAACATTTTCTTCCTAGGAAAAAGAGTCAGAGGAAGCAAAAATGCAAGTGAAAAACTTCCAGCTCCTCGGACACCACTGTAGAAAATTATGCACTGGTCCTTCATGGAGAAGGGGAAAGTCCGAAACTGGTTACTGACATAGAAGAGAATAAACACGCCTGGAAGGGGGGAAACACGTATTAGAGCAGAGTCTTGGGTGAACAGAGATTCAGTGCTGGTGAACTGAGGGGGTGTGCATGCACCCTCCAAATAAGGCATCCAAATCCCATCACAAACTCATGACTGTCTGCCCCAAGTAGAGTATCTTTTATGGCCTTCCACTTAGGGGCTAGTTATGAGACAGTGAATCAAGTTGGAATCTTCTCTGGTAGCTTCTTATTGTGAGTGTTGTGTGTGTTTAAAGGGATAAAATCTTGATTTTTTAAAAATGTGAGATATGTATTTTCTAACCCATATTCATAATGTTGGCTCTTCCTCCCTTCATTCCTTTATTTTTTTATTTGAGTTGGGTCTCACTTTTGTCACCCAGGCTGGAGCACAGTGGCACACTCACGGCCACCGCAGCCTCTACCTGCTGGGCTCAGGGAATCCTTCCACCTCAGCCTTCCAAGTAACTGGAAGTACAGGCGTGTGTCACCACGCCCGACTAATTTCGTGATTTATTGTAGAATTAAGGTCTTGCTATGGTGCCCAGCCTGGTCTCGAACCCGTGCGCTCAGGCCACCTTCTTGCCTTCACCTCCCAAAGTGCTGGGATTAGAGATGTGAGCCACTGCACCCTGCTTGGCTCTTCCTTGTGAAACTAGTCAAGGAAAAAATATTCTTGGGAGAATAAATGCATTCTTCTTATCTCCTATTTTTATTGGATACCCAGTGGAGGTCTGTAATTTAAAAGTGAGAAGAACAAACCTTCTCAGTGACTGGTCTCTACAGAGTGAGCAAATCCTTGCTGGTTGGCTTGGTTCTTCTTGAGGTTCAATATGAACAAGAAAGGAAGTTGGAAGTGTTGAAGGGTTGGGTGTTGTTTTTGCCAGTGAGCTTTATAAGCAGAAGGTGTAGGTTGGAAGATCTTGGTTAAAACAGATTTCTGCCGCACGGGTTTCCCATCCTCAGTGTCCCATACCACTTAGCTACCACCTTGGTGGAAAGTGTCCTTTCACTCAAGTTCGAATTAGCTACAGAAGAGACTTCACTTTAGGACAATAAAGCTCTCCAAATCCTCATGTACTTCTAGTCACACAGACTTCATGGCAAACTTTTCATTTTTTAAGTAATAGGCGCATCGATAGTACAAAAGATAGCAACATTTAACACATGCTGTTTTGTGATGTAAGTCTGTAATTCCAGCATTTTGGGACGCCAAGGTGAGGGGATTGCCTGAGCCCACAGGTTCAAGAACAACCTGGGCAACTTGGCAAGGCCTCGTCTCTACAATAAATTAAAAAATTAGCCGGGCGTGGTAGCACACGACTGTAGTTCCGATTACTTGGACGGCTAAGGTGGAAGGATCGTCGGAGCCCAGCAGGTCGATGCTGGGGTGGATGTGAGCTTGCCACTGCACTCCAGGCTGGGTGACGGAGTGAGACTCCAACTAAAAAAAAAAGAAAAGTGCTGTTTTGTTTTGTTTGTCCTCATTTCTCAACATACCAGTCATGTGACCTAGGATAAGGTTCTTGATCATTTTATGTCCTCAGACTCTTTACCTGCTTAATGGAGATAATGAAGGTATATGTAAAAATTGAATAAATTTAAAAACCATAAATGACATAAAAGAGAGCCTTATGTGTTATAAGCCTGCATGAGTGTGAGCTACCATTAGTTATAATTACTTAGGGTGGTGAGAAACAGACTCAGAGTGAGAGAATTGGATTCTGACACCTGGCTTTGTCAGTTACCACAATGAGGCCAATGTGGTCACTCTCTTGATTGCTCCATCAATTCCCTCAACTATGAGATTGTGGAGTTGGACTGGAGGGTCACTCAGAGTCAAGGATGTTGAGGTACCTGAATAATTAATCCTTTCCCTCTTGGTTTCCTTTCTTGTTGGCCAGGCTAAAGCTCAACAATATTGCTTCTCTTAACATTAGCTTTACTCCCTCATAAATTTCTAGAACCGTAGAACTGAAAGGAAATGAAGAAATTTGCCCAAATCCTTCAATCTATGGCTGAGAACATACCACTGCAGAAAGATGTTGAGTAGTTAAACGTTTGTTCAAGGACAAATAGCTAGTTAGTAATTGAGCCAGGATTTGATTTGATAGAATAAACTTGTATCATAGTTTCCTAAATTATTTTCCCTCCAAGAACTCAGCAAACATATACCAGGGGTGCCAAAAAAATTGAATACACATTTTAAGAGGTGTTATCTATGTATTATTTTTAGTTTGCCATCATCAGAAGTGTCTGGACGTTGATGGTAACCCCTTTGAGTACCCCCTGTAATTGCAGAGGTCAAAGTGACTTGTATTCATCCTTTGTTATTGGTATATATTGAGTGTTAACAATTGTAATAGTTTTTTTTTCCTTTCTTAAAATGTGTATACATTTTTGGCACCCTCTATATATGCAGAGTTACTTTTATGAATTTTTAATATTTATGTATTCTTGCTATTCTTTCTTAGATACAGAGCACATCCTAAATTAATTTGGAATTGATGAATTCAAGATCTTTTTTTTTTTAGTAATAGGCTTGAAAATATTGGTCAAAGTCATTTAACAAAAAGCTTCAAATATTGGTCAAAGGGCAACATGCATATTGTAGTTCAGTGTTGAATGTTCTTTTCTAGCTCTGAAACATAAATGCATAAGATAAATCAGTAGCTACTACAGACATCTCATTTTAGAAGATTAGTCATATTTTACAGGGGTGACACAATTACATTATAAAGTTGCCTTTACTAATTAATACTAAGCTCTTTTTAAAATATTCACTTTCTGGTCTGTTATTGTTGTTGTTGGGCATATATCACACGCCCTTGTACTCAACCCTCAAATAAAACCTGTACTATTTAGGGGATGCTGTCTAACAGTGTTTGTTTCACATATAATACAATTTGTGAGATCTCACTTATCCTGTAGCAAAAGTGTAAATAAAGCTTACAGCTTATAATCTATATCTGACTTAAGGTGCAAGCGGATACAAACTGGCAAAGAAGTGAAGAGCAAAGGATTCATTTACTGAGTTATACATCAATGTGTAAATGTGAACTTCTCTCTTCAATGAAAGAAAGTACTCCTTGCTCCAGCCTGGCATCAGTACAGACCGTTATCAGCCACTAATTACTTTGAGCTGATTGAAGGGGCAGATAGAAAACATTCCTGGTCATTATGAGGTACCGGGACTCCCCTAACTGGTAAAACCAGTTAGTGTTTGCCAGTCACTCACTGCTCATGTTTTCATACTGCAGAAAATCATCAGTTCACCACAAATGAAGCAGGACAGGACACTCTGGGGGCCCTGCTGTCTCTTACTGATGGCTCTCCAGATCTGGCAGAAGGCCAGGGTAAAGCAGACGAAGGCCCAGTTCCACTCGTGGTTCTTCCCCACGGTGGAGACGCCCATGAAGATGAAGATCAAGGTCTCACTGACGCTGCTCAGCATCTTCATGAAATATTTGATGGTCGTGTAGGATGTCTGGGACACGTTTTCTTCCACGTACTTTTTCATTGTCACCGCGCAGGCCGTGATTCTACAAAGGAGCAGAGTCTCAGAGAGAAACAGCAAGGTTTTGCCTCCCCACAAAAGTCCTCGCCACAGATGATGCCACAGATACATGAAGGCTGCCTGGATCCAGAAACAGCATCTCCATTCCCCTTCCCTGGTGGCGGTTGCCCACAGGTTTTCTTTCTTCTGCTTTTCCCTCCCTGAGGAGTCTCTACAAGGTAAAGCTGAGTGATATGGGGAAAGTGGGTGTGGATGGTCTTCCCACAATAAATTCAGGCTCCTGGAAGCAAAATGCTCACCTTCATCAAGAGTTTGTCAGTCCTAACTCTCTCTCCTTTACTCTGCCTTAAACCAGAATAAATCCGCGTCAGTACCTAGATGGAATAAGTCAGCAAAGCCCCCCTTTCCTCCCACCGAACAATATGTCTTACAATTTTTTTTTTTGAGTCAGAGTCTCACTCTGTCGCCCAGACTGGAGTGCAGTGGCCGCTCCCGGCCACCGCAGCCTCGACCCGCTGGGCTCCGGCGATCCTTTCGCCTCAGCCTTCCGAGTAGCTGGAACTACAGGCGCACGTCACCACGTCCGGCTAATTTTTTGATTTATTGTAGAGATGAGGTCTCGCTGCCCAGGCGGGTCTCGAACCCGCGGGCTCAGGCAAGCCACTCACCTCAGCCTCCCAAAGGCGCGGGATTACAGGCTGAGCCACCGAGCCCGGCTGTCTTACAATTATAAACGAAATTTTTCATTTCAAGTGTTTCTGTCCTAGAGACATCTAGCAAGGATGGGGGAAAGAAAGAAACTTGCCTTGTCTTAGTCGTTTTAATAACGTTCAAAGTGGGAAAATGATGGATGCCTAGAGTTTACACTATGGTATTTAATTGGGGAAAAAAAGCATTTCTATACAATATAATTACATATTTCTGCCGGAGTAACTGGCAAGGAGGATCATCGGGAAAACAACATGGCCAAAAATAGCAAACCAGACTGAGAAGCCACATTCTGAGATAAGCATTTCAAGGATACAAGGACAGGCATTTTAAAACTATCTTCATAAGGACAAAGAAATCTAGATTTCCTGTTCTATCCCATCTACCTAGTTTCATTCCACAGCAGGCGTCCCTCCTGCATTCCTCTCTTCATCTTTAAACCTCATTTTTCAAGGGAAAAAATACCTGTTGAAGTGAGAATCTAGCCTTGAACTTTTCCCAGATCTCCACAGCAACAGTTTTCCTTAGCGTTCTGGGTGGATGTTAAAATTGCTACGCTCTCCTAATGCAAATCACAAGAAGAGAGCAAACACAAATGTGGAGAGAATATTTGTTTGGCAAAGAACCTGGATCAGATTTTACAAGTTTAAAACCTCCTAAGTCCTGCAGTGTCTTTGAGGATTAACGTCAGAAGTCATGCCTTTTATAGATGCCTGGAGTACACGGTGTGGTCCTGAATGTGCTTTATATTACTAGGAGACGTGGTCCCCGGTTTGTACTCACGCCAGGATGCCGGAGAGGTAGAGTGTTTCTGCAGCTAAGTAAGACAAGTAGCTGAACATGAAGACGATGAGTGGTTCAATTGCAGAGATATTCTGAGTGAAACGTGTGATAAATGCAGAAATAAATCCAAAAAAGATGCCAAACAATACTCCTCCGACCCCCACAATAATGAATCGAGCACATCCAGCCAAAATGTCGACGGGTTCTATGTCTTCAAATTTATGCATCTTCGTGAAGGCAATTAATATATTGTATAAGACCTAGACAAAAAGAAAATAAACATAATTAGAAATTAGCAATACCGTACACACAGATGACCAGCTTTATGCCTAGTAAAATAGCATACAACAATACATTACACAGCAAAAAATGTAAACATGGCTACGTAACTTCTAACTGTATTCCAAATAATTTAGATGTATTCAGTCTCACTGAATAGGTATAACATAGTTTCCAATCACGGGGTATCTACTATGTGCCAGCATTTTTTGCTAAACTTTCTGTGTCAGTTAATGTATCACCTCTAAGCTCCAGTTTTATTTTTCATTTTTAAATTTTTGCTCTATAATAAACAATGGAGTGCCTCTAAGCATTTCTCCTTTAAAGGGAGCACCAGGTTAAGTTTTCTCAATAGAGTACACAAAAAGAACACTGCAGGAGAAAGGGGCGTGCAACAATTTCTTTGAGGCCTGCCAGGAGAGTTAGCCATGTGGATGTGAAGACTTCTGGTGGAAACTGTCTGAGCCACAGACCCTGAAAAGTGATCCCTCTGCAACCCTGCAGTTTCTGCCTGGCGATCAGCTGTCTGCAAAAAGCCCCAGCATGGCCATGTGCAACATGTCTGTGGTCCGGGGTTCCACTGGAGATGCTCTCCCTTTGGGAACCTCTCCCTTTCCCCCACATGCATCCTGCTTCCTGGAAGACCCTCTGTCCCCTCCCTCACACAGGTTCCCATTGCAGTCCTGGATCAGGGATTTCTATCTGACACGCGGCCCCAGTTGCCTTCCAGAAGGTGGTCTGTCGTCTGGCCGGCAATTCTAGACCAGGTTCAATCTCGCCAAACCAGCCAACTTCTCTGCTATGCAGGGCTGATTCACATCTTCCCCAGGGAGAGTTGAACTTCTAAGCTGTCTTTAGGGTACCATAGAGATTTCCTTCATCTCTTATAGTCCTTCCTTTATCATAGCTAATAAATTATACATTAACATATTTTTCTGTTTAACCTTCTGTGTGGTTTCTCCTTCCTGATTAGACCCAGTTTGCTACACTCTCTGCACTAGCCTGTGTGACACACGCTCTTAATTTTTATTTTCCTACTATTTCTCTATTTTCAACATTCATTTTGAAGTTGCAGGGATCTACGTGACTATTTCAGTGTCAATCCATGGTCCTAAATCAGGATCGAGCTTCTGAAAAATAATAGCAGAGAATAGATGAAGCAAGATCTCTGCAGAAAATGAAGACCCCTGAGAGTATCATCCCTTGAAGAGTCTGTTGACCACAGCACATGCCTATTAGCCTCTGCTTGTTTATACCAGAAAAAAAGTTTTAAATCAGAGCAGAGGACAGAAGCTACAACTCAGGGATATTGTGTGCCTATAATTCTTTCTGTGAGCTGCAGAAGTGCAGAAGGACTGCCACAAAGCCTCTGGAGGTGACCGGGTCTGTCCCCACCCTTCCCCTCATTGTCACAGTGGACTGTCACCCCCCTAGGGCCACAGACCCCCATGCTACACCCAACCAGGCTTCCCCAGGCTTGCTCCACTCTGAGCATCCTTATGGAGACACTCAATGTCACCCTGATTCCTCAATGTGGCCCAATGGCCTTTGGCATCTGGCCTTGGCTTTGCCCTCAGGGCTCTCCGGGATGATGTGCTGCTTTACAGGCAGGCTGGCCCCCTTGACTGTGGTCTGCAGCCGGCAGGCAACCGCAGGCCTTCCTTCCCCGGCTCGTTTCCCTGGCCTGACCTCTCCAGGTCTGCTGGAGGCATGGTCTCTGCTCACTCCCCATGGCGTCAGTTTTATGATTAAAGATTACTGTTTTCCCACAGAGAGACAGGCAATAAGTGATTGCAAAGGCCATCTTGTTAGTTTCATAATCATAAGCAGTTGGAGTGCATTGAAAACAAAGACCCCCTTCGTCCCATTTGCCCTCTCTTCCAAGGATTGTGTCATATTTGTTTGAGAGAAGTGTCGTCTAGGAACAGACAGAAGCAGAAGAAGCGATCGGTTACGGGATGAGCATCTTTCACTGGAGCCACTGTGTCACTGTTTGTACACTTTTCGCTACTCCCTTACATGGAGACATTTAAAAAAGATCACACAGCATGATTTTGGGCTTTGGAATGTGTGTTGGCAGTGCCGGACATTCCTCAAAGTAGCTCAGGTGTCACCAGTCCTCACCTGGGATGCTTCCTTGCCAATGCACTCTGTTGACTAGGGAAGGGCACAGGGAGGGTGCCCAATGGCCCTCTGCTCCCAGGTTCTTGGTCCACAGGACGCCACAATGCAGCTTTGTCCCCCGGACTTCTGTCGTCATCTCCTAGGCATGCTGCAAACAAAGTTCCACCAGCTGGGCGGCTTCAATGAACAGAAACGTATCCTCTCACTGTTTTGGAGACTAGAAGTCTGGAACTGAGATACTGGGTGGGACCACGCTCCCTCTGAAGTCACCAGGGGAAGATTCTTTCCTGCCTCTTCTGAGCTTCTGGTGGTTGTCGGCAATCCTTCATGTTCCTTGGTTTGTAGATGCATCACTCCACTCTCGTTTCTGTCTTGGCATGGGCTTCTTCTCTGCGTGTCTTTTCTGTGTCACATGGTCTCCTTGTAAGGACACCAGTCATCAGATCAGGGCCTACCTTAGTTCAGTGGAAGCTCATCTTAACTAATTGTATCTGTAGAGAACTATTTGCAAATGAGGTCCCATCCTGAGGTTCCAGGTGGACATGATTTTTTTTTGTTGGGGACACGATTCTTTCCAATACAGCTTTTATTTTTTATTTATTTATTTATTTTTTAATTGGAGTCTCACTCTGTCACCCAGACTGGAGTGCAGTGGCCGCTCCCGGCCACCACAGCCTCGACCTGCTGGGCTCCGGTGATCCTTCCGCCTCAGCCTTCTGAATAGCCGGAATTACAGGCATGCGCTACCCATGCCCAGCTGATTTTTGATTTATTGTAGAGATGAGGTCTCGCTGCCCAGGCAGGACTTGAACCCGCGGGCTCAGGCAATCCACTCACCTCAGCCTCCCAAAGGCGCAGGATTACAGGCTGAGCCACTGAGCCCGGCCAGTACAGCTTTTATAAACAAAATGACCACACAATAGAATTAACTTGTATTACAGACTAGCAAATTTCAGTTATAATTCTCTCAGAGCACAAATAATTTTATTTTGAGTTTTACAAGGTCCTAAACTGTGGCTTGTCCCCCCAAATGATTCAATCATGTTTCTTAGGAGAGTCTGGGTCACATATTTTGAGTGTATGCATTGGTGCACTCTTTTTAATGACTAAAAATAAGCAACCAGTAGCCAGTAAGCTTGGTTAGATAAGAGAATGTGGATAGAAGTGTATAAATAGACTTATCTCCTTACCCCATCACATGTTTCTAGTGTATTTCCTTGGAAGCTGGGGAAGGTGAAGAAGAAGAATCAGAAAGCTTGAACCCAACTGACCCAAGCAAGGACACACAAAAACACACACACACACCATAAACATGGTGAATTTCTGAAATTAAGAATATAATAAAGACAAAGACTTGAGGGAATCTTTAACTAAGTTTGCTTATGGATATACACACATGCCAAACTGCAGAAAATTTCAGAAACAAAAGTGCAAAGGAAAACTCCCACAAATGTCCCACAATCCTTCTCCGAGAAAATCATGGTAAATATCATAAACATGTCTTTTCTAAACCTGCTGTCTACCTATCTATCTACCTATCTGTCTACCTACCTATCTATCCTGCTGTCTACCTATCTATCTATTAATCTGTCTATCACCTATCATCTGTGTATCTATCTATCTAATCTATCATCTATCCACCTAACATCTATCTATTAGGTTCATGCAAAAGTAATTTCAGCTTTTGCACTGTTGATATTAGCTGTTTGATATTGGAATACATTCTTAAATATCGTCATGTTATACATCATTTTTTTTTGAGTCAATATGTCTTACAATTTTTTTTTTTTTGAGTCAGAGTCTCACTCCGTCGCCCAGACTAGAGTACAGTGGCCGCTCCCAGCCACCGCAGCCTCGACCTGCTGGGCTCCGGCGATCCTTCTGCCTCAGTCTTCCAAGTAGCTGGAACTACAGGCGCACGTCACCAAGCCTGGCTAATTTTTTTATTTATTGTAGAGATGAGGTCTCGCTGCCCAGGTGGGTCTCGAACCCGTGGGCTCAGGCCATCCACTCACCTCAGCCTCCCAAAGGGCGGGATTACAGGTTGAGCCACCGAGCCCGGCTGTTATACATCATTTTAATGCACATTTCTCGCTTTATGTTTTTTGCTAATAACAACACTTGCTGTTTATTTTATGATTATTTTAGACGGGGGAAATGATATCAGACAAAAAGCAAATTCGAGTGATTTCCTTATTCGAGTTCAAAATGGGTCGTAGAGCAGTGAAGACAATTCACAACGTCAACAACACATTCGGTCCGGGAACTGCAAACAAACACACAGTGAAGTGGTGGTTCAAGGAGTTTTGTGAAGGAGACGAGAGCCTTGAAGAAGAGAATCATAGTGGCCGGCCATCTGAAGTTGACAACCATCAATCGAGAGCAATCCTCAAGTCTCATCCTCTTACAACTACATGAGAAGTTGCCGAAGAACTTAATGTCAAGCATTCTATGGTTGTTCGGCATTTGCAGCAAACTGGAAAGGTGAAAAAGCTCAATATGCAGGTGACTCTTGGAAAGCTGAGGCGGAAGGATCGCTGGAGCCCAGCAGATCGAGGCTGCGGTGGCCGGGAGCGGCCACTGCACTCCAGTCTGGGCAACAGAGTGAGACTCCGACTCAAAAAAAAAATAATAATAATTAATTAATTAAAAAAATAAACAGGTGACTCATGAGCTGACCGAAAATCAAAAAATTGTCATTGCAAAGAGTCGTCTTCTCCTATTCTATGCAATAGCAACGAATCACTTCTCAATCGGATTGTGACGTGCGGCGAAAAGTGGATTGTATATGACAACTGGCAATGGCCACCTCAGTGGTCATTCTGAGAAGAAGCTCCAAAGCACTTCGCAGAGACAC